GTGCAATACGGATTAAAATTGTTTAAGAAATTTGAGAAACACTTTTTAGTTTAGTACCTCGTTATGCGACGTCGATCGAGAAAGCTGGGAGATCCACGACGTCGAGGAATTGATGGTGAACGGGAGCCAGTACGTGAGGAACCGGAAGTACCAGAGCTGCAATGAGGGTTTGTTTCGATGAGAGTTGATAATGAGACAGGTTTTAAATTAAACAAAAAAAAAAAAAAAAACACAAGGGCCATCCCAACTTTAAATCTTAGAAGCATTAATTTGGTTCCTAAACCTAAGCACAGAAAGGGACGTAGGTCAGTTTTATGAAGCTTCCAAACAATAGAAGTGGCGCAATGTGGAAAACGTGGTGGTAGGACTTCACACATATCTTGCGACTATGGCATTTTTCCATGCGCCTACAAAACAACAGACCTTGTACGATTTACCATCACTCGGTAGCATTTGCTTTACATAATCTTCTAAGTGTGCGGCTGTTATAGACCCAAGGTCGAGTAAATATTTTATCTACCGAATTTAAAGATTTTTCCCCATACATACATATATGCATGTGAAATGCCCAAGCTCAAAATTACACTTGCAAAAGAGAAAACCAATTACCTTGAAGAACTCCGTGAACTACTTCGCGTCGAACAACTCGAATGCGAAGAATGTGAATGTGAGCGAGAACGTGAACTGCGATGGCTGTGGCTCCGAGTGCGGCTATGGCTGCGACTGCTCGACGACGAATAATGCCTGCAAGAACGAATACAAGGACACATTTTTAATTTTCTTTTATCCTCATTTTGCTGTTTCTACAACCAAAATGTACTTACGATGAACGTGATCGGCTAGTGGAATGCCGACGGCTTGTTCCTCCTCCTCCTCCACCAGCGCCGCTGCCGCCACCTCCACCATCTCGTCGTGGGCGACTACGGCTGCGGCTGCGACTACGCCTTGTACGACTACTACTACGACGTGCTGCACTCTCTGCTGCGGCCACAGTAGCTGTGGATACCTTGGATACGATTGTATCGACGAGTGTACTATCGGCTAGTGCCGCTACCAGAGGCTGTGAATCGTTAATTTTAAAAGGCTTTATTATAATTTTCGGTTTATTCGAATGTTGGTGGTGATGATGGTGGTGATGATAACTTAAACTAGAAGCTGCAGCAGCTACTGCCGCATTGTAGCCGTGATGATGACCCGCCACACTCACACCCAGCTCATGATGATGGTGACCACGTGCATGATGACCACCACCAGGACCACCACCACCGCCACCGCCGCCCGTAACTGCCGCCAATGAGGCGGCAATCAACAACTGATCAGATATGACCGAAGCATTGGAGCCATGCTGATGCTGATGTTGGTGTTGGTGCGAATGATGGTGGTGAGCATGATGGCTATTATTGGGTGTTAGTAGTAAGCTATTATTAGAGAAATTAGTTGAGGAGAATTGAGCATTTAGGTTAGCATTTAAGTTCATCGCACAGCGATGATGGTGTTCGCGACGACTAATTAGCATTGTGTTATTGTTCAAGCTGTTGATACCGCTGTTAAAGTGTTTACTCAATAACGGATTAAAGCCATGTGGAGCATGGGCTATCAGTGGTGGATTATTGTGATGGTGATGGTGATTGACGCGACTCAATGATTGGCGCATAAAAGCACCAGCGGCGGCGTTGCCCGGATTGTTAACTCCGCCATAATGGTTGTAGTTAGAGGGAGGACCGGAGGAAAGCGGCGCGTTAATAAGTGAAACACCACCACTAGGTGTATTGATTTTTACTCTGTGGTGTGATTTTCGCGGATGTAGAATAAGCGGTGGCGGTGGAGAACGACGCACGCCACGGCGCAGTGTCATTTGCTGACGACTGATAGTTGTATTTGCGTTTCGCGCGTTAATATTCGAATTTTCGCGAGCTGGTAATGTTGGACTTTTCGCCGCCTGACCATTTGCTGCACTTGGGGCTTTGCAATCAGCCTGCGGCGCGATGTCCGTACTCTCCTCTGGCGTTTGTGCTTTTGCTGTATCTACGTCTTTCTCTTTTTCTTTGTCGGTTTCTATTTTCGAGTTGTTTGCCGTTTCACTTTGAGTTCGCACCTCGTTTGCCATTTGTTCTTCAAGCGGCTGGGGGTAAATCGCTGCCATTGGCGGCGTCGTATCCCCACTACTCTCTGCTTCCTTTGCTTTGGTTACTGTGTGATTGTTATTGTTAGTACTATTGCTATTGTTTTTATGGTTATTATTACTGTTGTTATTTCTATTAGTATTCGAAGCTACTTCAACTACTGCGGCAGCCACATTGTTGGCCACAAGAAACTCGTTTAACGAATTTCGCATGCCGCCGTGTCTGTAGCGCTGCTGTTCATTGTTATTATTTTCACTTACTTCACTCGTAATGCTTCCTCCACCAGTGGCCATTTTCTCAATTGATTTCAATTTTTCCTTTGCTTTAGCGGCTATGTCCGTTTTCAGCTGTTCCAGCATTTCCAAGTCTTTAAGTTCTCGTCCACGTCTTATTTCCTGGAATTCATCGAGTGATGCAGCCACCTTTTCGGTGCGATCATCTGCATCGTTTTCATCCTCGCTCTGACCTTGTAACCGCACTACTGGCCCTGACATTGGCTTAGTACGCTTGGAGGTGGACGCAGCACGACTTTCGCGTTCCCGTTTGTGTTCCCTGTTGCGCTTTTCCCGGCTGCGGGGACGACCGTTGCGGTCGACGCCACGCTGTCTTTCGCGCTCTAAATCTCGTTCACGTTCAGGTGCTCGCGCACGACTATTTTCGTCCGTGGCACGCTCTTTGTCTCGTCCACTACGCTCGCGAATTTCTTGATCGTTTGCCAACGGCTCTTCGGGCACATCACGCATCTTACGTGCATCTTGAGAGGATGCATCAACTTCGGTATCACGTCTTTTCGAATCTTGCGCGTGTGACACTGGTTTTTCCTTTTCCTTTTCTTTTTCTCTGCCTTTCCCTTTTTCCTTTGATTCGAGTATGTCGCGATAACGCTCAGGATTACGTCGCGCCGGTGAGTAACTTAGTTCCGAGGAGTTATGCGATTGGGAACGACGAGGTGGCACAGCTTCATCCTCTGCGCGCCTATTAGGCGGCGGAGAGGTTAAAGTTTTCGTACGCTTTTCTGTTGGTGTACGAGATTTGCTGCGCGCTAGAGATGCAGCGCTCTTTTTTGCTTTCACGGCTACAGGGGAGTGGGACGCTGATCGTCGATGGCGTGTGGGGGATAATTTGCGGGATGGCGCGCGTATTGCGCTAACAGTTCGATCCTCAGATGTTCGTTGTTCAGAGCGCTTATCAGGCGCCATTCGATGTTGGCGCGAAGGTTGGTCCCTTTCTTTCATATCACGAACTGAACGTGGTTCTACAGCTCGCAAATCGGGCGACTTACGACGCTCACGTGATCCCCTTCTGCGTTTTTCAACTTCTCGGTCAGCGCGCGATGTAGAGCGTCTAGTTGGAGATGATTTTTCGGGTGTTGCCGAACGTTTACTTCCTCGCGCAGTACGCGAGCCGGAACGCTGGCGGGATTTGGAGCTTCTACGCTCACGTGAATGTTCCCTTTTGAATGCACGTTCACGCGACTTTTCCCTTATGAGTTCACGCTCACGCGAGTGTTCCCTTTTGAATTCACGCTCAGCTCGTGGAGGCGAGCGTCGTCGAATGGGTGAAGGTTTGCGCTCTCGCGATCGCGTCCTTTTTAATTCACGCTCACGTGACTGTTTTTTTATGAATTCACGCTCACGCGACGGTTCTCTTTTGAATTCACGCTCAGCTCGTGGAGGCGAGCGTCGTCGAACGGGTGAAGGTTTGCGCTCTCGCGATCGCGTCCTTTTTAATTCACGCTCACGTGACTGTGCCCTTATGAATTCACGCTCACGCGACGGTTCTCTTTTGAATTCACGCTCAGCACGTGTAGGCGAGCGTCGTCGAACGGGTGAAATTTTGCGTTCTCTCGATCGCTCTCTGGCATATCGTTTTTCGTTTGGCGGCGGTCGCACATCCCTATTCGAATGTGATGACCGCACCGAAGACGAACGCTCACGCTTTACTGGTGATTTGCCATGACTCATCCGTGTTATATCCTTATTTGACTGCGATCTTCCTTTCTCAGTTCGACCGAGTACGCTGCTGGCTGCAGATGGTGATCGAGTGCGACTCGACAGCTTGGCAAGTTTTGCTGGCTCTACTGCATTCTTAAATGGATTCGCGCTCGATTTTATTTCACTCGTAGATGCGGGTACTGCAAGCAGCGGTGCATCAACTTTGAATGGATTGAATGGATTTTTTCGTGTGCTAGAATCAGATCGAGTCGGCGAGACAGAAGCAGCGACACCTTTTAGTGGTGGTACTGTTGGAGTAATGGTGCGCTTGCGTAATTTATCAACGGTAGAAGGGGAAGGTGAGCACCTTCGCTTGCTATGCTGCGGAGATTTTGAACGAGATCGCGAACGACTCGTACGAGTGCGTGGGGCCCTATCATGGCGTGAGCGTGACGACGACGGTGCAGCACGCTCGTCGCGTGAAATAGAGCGGGATTGCTTACGCTTGCTATTTTGTCGTTTATTACGATCTCTAGACACTTCTCTGCGACGCTCACGTGAGTGTTCATCACGTTCACGTCGACTACGACGTTCGACATTGTCACGATGTCGTTCATTGGAATGCTCCCTACTTCGACTTTCTGCCGGTGAATTGCGACGGTGCGAGGTTGACCGCGAACGACGACGCTGTATTGCACGTTCAAGCGAGCGACTGCGGAAGGGATTTCTTGTGGGAGATTTAGACACATTCCGCGAGGAGTTCCTTTCGTTTTTCCTTGATCTTTCTTCACGTTGCTTACGCTCGTCCCTAGAAGATCGTTCCGTAGAGCGGCGATCGAAAGGATTTTTGATTGCAGATTTTGATACGCTTCTTCGGCGTGAGTTACGCCTTTCGTCTCTTCTTGATGATCTTTCATCAGAACGCTTGCGGTTATGTCTAACTGTGCGTTCAGGTGATCTGCAATGGAAGATGGAAAAATTTATACATATACATACTTTCATTAAAGTGATGAGAAATGTGGGAATACAAGTTATTTCGAAAAGTCTGCCAAACTGAAGAGAAGCAAGAACGGAATGCTCGGTGGCTCTCTTGCAGTCAGAAGAATGCTAGGAAGCAGATTGGTATTGACGTCAAGGATTATACATTGGATGAATACGGGGCTATAGTCCGATCCATACTTTCATATGGAGCGCTGGACTGGTGGCCAGTCCAAACTACGTTGTTAAAAAATTAAGCGGGGTTCAGAAGTCACTTTGCACAAAATTCCCAAGCTGAAGTGACTGAATTCGATGGCTGTTTTTACAGACGGATCATAGATAGAATGCGGGGCAGTGGCAGGGATTTTCATTGACCAACTCAATTTGAAGCTTTCATTTCACCTACCGGACCATGCAAGTGTTTTCCAGGCGGAAATTTTGTAATTAAGAAGGCGGTAAAGTACATTAAAAACCTGCATAAGGTCATTGAAAGAGCAAGGCTATAGCCGCTTCAGCAACCTATTCCTGAAGAATATCGCAGAGTGCAGCCATATGATATCTTGGCTTATATAAAAAGTATCCGCGGATTTTTGTCACTATGTGGTGTTGATGCCTATACATTTGGCAACACTTATCCGATTGCGTCAAACTGACGTACGTTTGAAAGGTGACATTTCAGGCTACATTTATAGAGAAGACAGTTCTGTAATTCGTCGCCCGTGCAAAAATTAAGACTGATTTGAAAATGAGTGAAATATCTCAAGAAATGTGCCATGGTATACTTTTTTTACTATTAAAACGGTGAAAACATTGCATAAACAGGCCAAAAAAAAAAAAAAAAATGCGATGAGAATGCCAGACCACAAAGTGGTTTGCTCGATTCCGTTGCGTAAATTTTGATGTCAAATATGCACCTCGCTCTGATGAAGACCGGCAGCATGCAAGCTGTCAGGAGATAGCGGAGGCACTAAATATCAACCACAGGAGTTTGGAATCACCTAACAAGAGTAGGCTACTCAAAGAAGCTCGAAAGAAACAAAGAAATTTGATTGACCAAATCGTTCCCTAGACAGTCTACGTAACCGGAACGATCCAGATTTATATCCGGCAGAGGACTGCCACTCCATCAACACTCAGCAAACACACTTTGGGGAATTTGTATGCTGTTACAAAAACAACAATAACATTGACCGAATCGCCTGCGGTGAAACGCAACCAAATATCACCATTTTTAAAGCGGCTGACTTGTATTTGTGTCGGTCTCTGCAAACCTCTCTTGATGGTAAAATAATATGTATTTTATTAAAACTGACCCAAAAATTCGCGGAGCCTTTGTATGACCCAATACATAGTTCGCGAGTTGATGTATTCGAAATGGTTAAAATTTCCTAATTGCTTGCCAATAGGGTGACAAATCGCTCGTAAATAATAAAACAATTTTTCTGTCTTTTCCGTCCACACGGAAAGAACAAATGCGTTTTTTACTGCCACATCTAATTGGCAATTAGTAGTCGTGTTTACTCAAATGGGTTTTCGTGAGTGAATGCACTAAAATTCTATAAATCTTAGTTCTTACCTTGAGCGCGACTTCTCTACTGAGCTGGTGCGTTCCTTCTTCTTCTTCTTATCACGTTTCTTCTGCATAAAGGAGAATTAGGAAGAAACAAGTATTTATTAGTATCTGTATCATTTGCATGAGTTTCAGAGCTACATATTTGATCTAGTGTAAGAAATTGCTGAGTTTGTATTTAAATAGTTGTTTTTATTGCATGAATTTGAGAACTTAAAACTAAGAAGTTTTAAATTATCTCAGACAAATATTGTATATATATATATTTTTTTTTTTTAATTTTTCGTAGAATTCTTTGCACTTTTTTTTGCTGTGATGTGCACTGTCCGTTAATGTACATAACAGTGTGTTTGTTGTTATGTTAAGTTATGCTTTTTTTCGTGCATCATCGCAGTCGCTTGCCTTTTTGGCAACCTTAAGTTCTTTTTTTTTATTGACATGGCATTCAGTTTTTATTTATCTTTTTTAGTTTCTATGCTAGGAGCTTAAGACAACAAAACGGTCTAAATAAAAGTACTTACAAAACTACAAGAGAGCCTTGCGAAAGCTATCCTATTTAATGAAGCGCCAAGGGTTTTCAATAAACAAAAATTGTAAATTTCTTTTTTTCTTAATAATAAAATTTTTATGTTAATGTATACGAAACTAGAAAGTAGTATGTAGATGCAAATTTCGTATTTATTTAAATGGCGTAAAATTTAGAATAAATAAAATAATTAACATCAAATAATTAACGGTAAGTAAAATTTAAATTTAAAAACAAACTACAATCTTAAGTTTCTATAAAATTAATCACAACAAAAAAAAGAAGTTAATTATAAAATAATAAATTTTAAATCTGTGTTTAGAATGGGTTTTTTTTTCAATCGAAATATTGAGTTTTTGCATTATGCCCAAGCTGCATTGAATGCCGAATTTCCACTTGGCATCAAATGAAAAATCATTGTATGACAAAGTTGAACATTAAAAATTTAAACAGTCATTACGTCAATAAAAAGGGCCATTCAGTTCGTTTTCTCATCGACATTTGGCAAATAGAACAATTTTTCGTCGTTTGAACGCTTAGTGGAAATTCGGCCTACTTCTGTATAAAAAAATTTAAAATTTTCGATTATAATAAATACAAGAATACGACACAATCTCTCATAATGGGAATTGGACTACAACCGAAAACTTCGTTCTAAGTGTCACTTGGAGATGGCTACATATACCTTTGATAACACAGAATTAGATGCAGACACTTTTATAATAACACTGACGTTAAATCGTATAACTTTTATTAAGTATTTTCTCTAAAAACAACTTTACGTATACATATTTAAGAAATTTTATTATTTTAGAAATTTCTTTTAAATCTTTCAAATGGCTGAAACTTTACCCCTACAAGGATTACTACACGGTGATTTTAAAAATGAAATCGGTTTTTTATTGGTTACCTATTTCGAAAAAAACTCGGGTTTTTAGAACCGGTTACCAATTTTGAGAAAAGCGTGGTCACGAACATTTTTTATTATGGTTATTTTAAAAATGTAATCGGTTTTTGTACCGGTTACCAATTTAGAAAAATCCGAATTCTTAGTACCGGTTACCAATTTCGTAAAAAGTGGAGTGGTACCGCCCAGTTTTTTTTTGCTTAAAACAAAATTTTATATTTTGCGTAAAATTTTCTCTATATAGAATTAGTTTAGCAATAATTGAAATATCGCAGTTTCCATTTTTTGTAAAATACTGCAATTTCTTCTATGCCTCGGTTCAGACTATATAATAATAATAATAATAATAACATTTTGGCGCTTAATTTTTGATGGGGCTTCACCAATTTGTGTTGCGAGTCTCGGTTTTGTTGTACAAATACAGGGTCCTACAGTTTTACGGCGCCTCCGAACGGCTAATGGATTTTTATGAGAAGCTTTTCATTGGCAGAAATACACTCGGAGGCTTAACATTGACCGCCGAAGGCCGTGCGCAGTTAGAACAAACTGTTTCTAATTTAGATATTGCTCGGACCAGGGATCGGACAAAGGTCCCACGAAGTGGTAGTGCGCACCTATAACCACTCAGCCATAGCGGCCGATATCCCTTCTAAAGTTATAGTCCGTATTAGGAGAAGTTTAACCTGCCACAGTATCCAGAGCCAACACGGGTACTGTCTCCGGTAGCGTCCCAACAGGAATTGCTTGCTCAGGAGGATATAACACTCCTTCACTGGGAGCAATTGGACCTCACTAAACGCATAGTGGGAATTCGGCATAATGCAGGTAGAGGAATTTTTTCACACAACATTTTTATACAATAATTTCTTAGAAGGCTTTAACAAAAGTAATTTTTTTGAGAGAAAAATTTGAAACATGCTCAACACAATTGTAATGCAATTCTCAATCATTTCTGTGTATATGATCAAATAAGCAAACAAAAATAAAAATAAATGAAAAATTATAATTTAAATAAAATCACTCTATAAATTATATATGAAAAGAAAAAATATAAAATAATCGGATATGAAGCAATGACAAACTGTTTACCTTTTTATTTCGCAAGATTTTTATATTTTGTTTGTTTTGGTTTTTTGTTTGAAAACATTTAGGTTATAATGTCTTTTTTGATTTTTGCTTTTCGTTCTTTTATATCGTAAGTATGTTTGTATATATCGTAGGAAAAAATAAGTAAGAGAAAAATTGCGTACTTTTAATCATTTGTAGTTTGGAAGAATGGAAAATTTAAAAATTCAAGTGAATTAGAATTAGAGAGAGTGCATGCGTTTCATTTAAATATAGATATACATATGTACATACAAACAAATAAATCGTTGTTATTTTTATATAAAAAATTATGAAAGAAATTTTATACATATTTATTTTACGGTTTTTTTTTCTCAATCTACACAAAGTAACTGTGGTTGTTAGGTTAATCGCACAATACAAGAGATAGAAAGCCTTTCCGGTTTCTGTTTTTTTTTTCCTTATTTGATTTGGCTTACCTTGTCCTTTTTGGCCCGTTTGCGTTGTTTCTTCAATTCATACTCCGAATCACTGCTGGGTTTCTCGTTGTCAGAGTCATGATCAGAGTCACCGCTATCGGATTCGCTTGCCTTACGTTTACGTGATTTCTTTTTCTTCGACTTACTGCAAGAAGAAATGGAAAAAATATAGTTTACTTAGACTATGGCGCCTTGAAATCGGACGAGTTGATTATAAAAAAAATTGCAAGCAGCTGAAACTTAATATCACGCTTAAATTTTTGAGGTTATCCTCATCATTATACATATGGTATAATTTTCAATGTTAGAAATTAAAGTAGTAAAAATGATTGGGTAGTTTACTAGTTTGTGTTCAGTTCTGTAGTGAAATGAGATTCTTACCACTCAAGGTTATGAATCGGTTTTCAAAAAGATGTTCAAATTTTTTATTTTTTTTTTTGAAAATCGACTTCAAAAGGGGTCTTCACACCGAGCTTGATACTCAGTAGTTTTTCCCCATTTATTTTGTTTCTTTATAAGTATTTTATAACCGGTTTACCGATTATCGAATTACCGTGGTGGCAAGCTTGATCATTTTTCTGGTAGTTTGTAATTCGCATTCAGCTGTTCGATATTTATTCAATTTAAAATCCACCCGCTGCCGAAAAGCACAACGCATATGAGAAATAAAATTCATTGAATTTGCTCATTGAATTTGCTGTTATAAATATTTTTTTTTTTAATTAAAAAAAAAGCTACGAGTCATCTGTTGGTAAACACAATTTACTAGACTAATAAAAGTAAGCTGTAAACGATGTTCACATTTGATCAAATTACTGAGTAACAACTAGCGCTTAAGTAAAACTACCGAAATTGGTGTGAAGACCCCTAATGTATTTAACTTTAAAGGAGCGTTTACTATATAAGCTTTTGAGTTGAAACCGCTTTTCTTGGTTTGAAATGCTTTTCTGTTCGTATGAGTTCTCGGAAGGGAGTTGCGATTGCACTCGAAAACGTTGTATTGTCACTAAAAATGCGAAACTTCATTCCAAGCCGGAGGACTTTCAACTCTAAGGTGACATTGAAAATGCACCCTGAAAACAAGTAATTTTTAAGCAAAAAACAAATCCACCTTCAACTCTCATAAAAAAAAATTAAGAGTACCGTTAATTTCTTCCTGATCCAATGATTCGATCTAAACCAAATTAGTGTGGAACCACCTCTGGTTTAAAAAAAGAATTATAAAAAATTGGTTAACGTGATCCAAAGTTATGAGGTAACATACATAAAAAAAATATTCCGACGAATTGATAACCTCTTTTTTTTTTGAAGGCGATTAATAAAACAAATTTTCTGGAGAAGTTGCGCCATTTAAAAAATACCACATGGAAACGAATTTAGTGGCAATTTTTGTTAATGTAATGGCACAGATATTTTTTAATGCCTAACTTTGTCAATGTAATTTGTGTCATTTGATACCTAGTGAACAACCGAAATAAATAATATTTTTCCTTAAATTACTATCAAAACTCTCTCAATTTTACTTTTAAGTAATGCTGGATTTCCACTAGGGATTAAATGACAAAAATTATAGTGAAAAAGTCGGATATTAAAAAATATTCGCGCCATTCTGTAAAAAATAGTTATTAAGTTCATTTCCATATGGCATCTTTTAAATGGCACACATTTTTTGGCATTTTAATGTCGAGTGGAAATTCGGCATAAGCAGGCAGGTTCTGCAATTCATTTACGTGTGAATTTGAACCAAAGCCGCTTTGATATCATGTTGACAAGGGTTGAAATTCACTCAGAAGTGAATTGCAGATAAAGTGGATCTCTGGGTGTAAACTTTTCATTTTTATTTCTATAAAACTATGCTATAGCGTGTTCACGTTACCGTGTTTTGTAGCAGTTTAAGTTTAAACAACACAACAAAACACGAGATGCAACAATTATCAGCATAATTTGAGACAAAAATAAATAGATAAAAAAATTGGGAAATAAAGAAAAAAAAAAATTAAAGGAGAAAGTGTCGGTGCCACAGGGCTTGAACCCATGACCAACAAGTTGGCAGTCGAACTCGCATCTATTTGGCTAGAGCCGCTGTTAGGAAAACATGGAAAAAATTGACTTCAATTCATTGTCTATGTCTTCGATTATTCACCGATATTTTGGCGGTTGCACTAAAATGTTGTCGTTTTTGGGACCGGTTTTCAACGAAAACAAGTCGTTTTTATGTGTTTTTCGGGCGTAATTTTTTATGAGAAAACATATGTTTTATTCTTGTTTTATAGAATAAAAAGGAGAACGGGCTATAAAACTCGGTAATGTGAACATGAAGTTTTGTACAATAAAATTTTAATTTCTCAAATCAATAGACATCTTGAAAAACTACTCGAAAATTCGAATTTAAGTATAATTCAAAAACACTAGAAACACGCAATTGCGCAAAATTTAAGATGCTGAAAATTCAAAATCATTTTTAGATGACCAAAATCTATTTTTATATGAAACATCCTCGTCAAAAAAAAGTTCTAAAAATTTTATGGTAGTTTTTAGCCCCTCGAGTTTTGCACTTTATTTGACAAACATTTTTTGAGTACTGAAGATCAAAAGAGGGCGCTATTCAAGTTGCCATATTTATCAATTTCAACTATAAAACAAAAAAAAATCCTTTATTAGTACGAATTGCAGTAGTATCACGTCATCGACTGTTTACTAGTAAAAGTTTATCTAGAAAAAATTCAGTAAAACTTAAGCTTTAATTTTCGCGGCTTCTCAAGCGTCAGCTAACGGGAGACCCAGGGAGTGTGCCAATCCAACTAGGCTGGTCCAGAGGGAGGGGCGTTAGTTGAGTAGGGTTTAGGAGGCATGCGAAAAGATATCTCGTATCATGTGGTGACTCTACGCATGCCGGACACTCGTTGGGTACTTCTCTGTCTCGTACACGTCTCGTGGTTGTGTGCCCAGAACGGCATTCACAGGTCGAGAGTCTACATAACTCGAGAGTGCCTCTCTGTGAATGCCGTTTATGGGCTGTCTGTCTGCTGTCGGGTCCAGAGGTTGTTTTGTGAACCTCGTTCGTGTAGATGCCTTCTGACGTGCCTTTGCGAGGGCTCCGCTGAAAGCAGGTGTCGTGCGGGTGACCACGTTTGTGGCACCCTACTAGGAATTGCTAATAAAACATTGTATTGTGCTGCTTGACCGGTAGCATTTGAGCCTCGTCATGTAGGTGTTGCTGAGGACCTTGTTGCGACTCTGTACTCTATTGACAATTGCGGTTGTATGTGCCGAGAAGGAGGGCAGACTATAGAAGGTAACTTCGAGTATTTTTCGGGTTATTCACCATCGAAATTTGGGTCGCCACCGACGTGAATTCCCAGCTATAGTCTGATCTCCTTTGTCCAGGTGGTAAAAAGGGTTGCCGAGGATTTCGTTGGGGGAGGGTTAGGCCCTCTGCAGTGAAGAAGCGAGATCGTTCAGAGAGGTAACCGTTTACTTTCGAGTACAAGTCATCAATTCCAGTCCTAGACGCCATTATCGGGCAGTCATTCGCATTAGAGATAATTAAAGACCCCCTCTCGTGGCTGAGGGAGCTTCTACCCCCCGCCCCTCTGTTTAATTTTTTCTTGGTTTGTTGTTTTTATCTCTAAAAATTACCGACGAATGTCGACTACTCAGATTATTCGCTGACCACCGTGTGATTCCCTGTAGGAAGCCTCTAACAAAAAAACCGGCTTCCCCGGTTTAAGCAGTGGGACCACTCTCCCCGTTTTCAAGATGTCCGGAACGATGATAGGGGCTATGGACAGATTGAAGACCTTGTTGAGATAATCTACTCCCGCATTTTTCCAGCATCAGTCGGGTCCCATGGCTTTGGAGGCTTTCGCCTTCCCGATGGTCACCTGAACCTCACCGCTGATGAAAGAAAGAGGCGCACTGGAAGTTGGCAGTTGGTGCAGCCTTCTATTCACTCGACGTTTGGCTATGTCCACCAATGCAGCGTTAACTGCCGTCTAAAATAGCTCGCATATCACTCCGGCTCCGACGAAGCGCGGTCACCGAAAGAGATTTCCACTCTATCGTCGCGCTTCGTCGGGTTGGACAATGACCTCACGGTTGACCAAAGCTTGCTTATAGAAGAGGTGAAGTTGCAGGTCTTCAGATGCTCATCCCACTTTTTCCGCTTATGTACGTTCACAAGTTGCCCAATCTTTGCGTTGAAATCCCTAATGGAGTGATCTAGGACAGATCATTCCATGATGCATCCAGCTGGGATGAAGCGGTCTACATCAGCTGTGATAGCCTTGCGGAACTTACGATCACCTACATGAACGTCGGTTGGTGTGGGAAGGTGCTTTCAGTAACTGCCGCGAAGCCGTGCCAATCAGCTATGCTAAAGTTGGCGGGGGTTCGGTGTTCTACGGAAGCAAAGTCAGCAGGTTTATCGATCGTGATAACTACGATCAGCATAGGTCGCCACTTTATGCTTTTTATCAGACCAGCGCTTACTATTGTTATATTGCAGAATGTGGAATCGTATATCTGCTCAGTCAAGTGTATTCCTCTTATGATCATTCCAAATGCTTGAATGGCGAAGATCGTGGTGCGCGTTTTAGTCTCCAATTACCATACGGGTTTCACCTTTGAAGAGCGCATCTATATCCGGGTGATATCATGCCGGGCATCTGATGGCAGGGAGTATGAAACGTTGAATATTTCGAGCTCGACATTGCCTGACCGGATGACAATGCCCTGATATTCTAGGATGATATTACTGTTGTCTGCTTCGGTAAGACGATACACCGCAATGTAGGGTGTTAATGAGGTGTGGTGCTGCCTGTCGGGAATTGGTTTTTTTTTTTGTAAACATGTACTATGTGTGTATGTATAAGTTGTTATTTTTAAATACGAACATTTTTAAACGATAATCAAATATAAAGTATTCATTTTTACTACGCATTATTTCCCTCAGTGTAGGTTACAAGGTCTTATCGAGCGTATTGTGTGAAAGACTGAAGCCCACCGTCAACGTACTGATTGGGACTTATCAGTGTGGCTTCAGACCTGGAAAATACACCATAGATCAGGTATTCACAATACGCCAAATCTTGGAAAAGATCCGCGTAAAAAGGATCGACACTCACCACCTATTTGTCGACTTCAAAGCCGCTTTCGATAGCACTAAAATGAGTTGCCTATGCGCCGCGATGTCTGAATTTCGCATCCCCGCGAAACTAATACGGCTGTGCAAAATGGCGTTGAGCAATGCCATCAGCTCCGTCAGAATTGGGAAAGACCTCTCCGAGCTATTTCCGTCCAAACGGGGGTTTCAGACAGAGCGAATTCCTTTCATGTGATTTCTTTAATTCGATGTTGGAGAAGATAATAAGAGCTGCAGAACTGAACCGCTCAGAAATAATTTACTACACTACTGTTTAATCAGATTTGAATTAATCGTGATTAGCTGTAATTGGATTGAATTTAATCGAATTGACTAATTAATTAAAAAATCAATCGATTAGTGCCAACACTGGCAGTAGGTGTAGGTTTCTGGTTCAGAGTTTGACTCGCTATCAACACTGAGCAGAGGAATGCGTATCAGATGTTGCCCTATGGACGAAAATTCAAATGCCTTTAAACATTGTGGTTAAAACAATTTCGCATACTGAAAAAAGTCCTCAAAACACTTTATAAGAAAAAAAATGTGGAGAATGTATGAACGAAAATTGGTTAAGGCTCGTTAACGGTAGGAGATATCAAAATCGTAATTGTTTCTTAGCTTAGTTGACATACTGTATATCTTTGTAAGCTTTTGAAAAAAGCACATGAGCGGAAAAAATGAGCCACCCTGCGGGAAAACCGAAGTAGTGTTGAACTATTGAATTCAACTGCACTATAGAGAAAATGGCAAAAAAAAAACGCCGAAACACGTACAACTCGATTTTGGGTCGTAGATTACGGATCTGTATACCATTTTTCTATGTCAGGTAATTTTCCAAGATATCTTCAGCTGCAAGGTGGAAAAATTTGATGCCTTTGTTAAAAAACAAGCAAAAAATACCACATTGGCTTTATTCCTATTATTTTTAACAACACTATGTGCTTGCTTAGCACAATTTTATAAAAAAAAATTTTATTCGACAAAAAAAATTGTTATTGCAATTTCTGGTCACCTCAAAAAGAATTGTTCATCGAGTTACATTACCTAATTTTACTCTTTGTTCTTGCATGAAAGGTAATATGTGTAGTTCCCTACCAAATGCAAGTGAACAGCAACTCCTCAACAAATTCACATCACGTCAGAAGTAATTCATACTTATTTAAATTTTGTATTGACTATAAAAATCATTTGTAAACTTGAGTGATGATCTCGATAGTTGTTTACCTTATTGTCAAATCTTCATATTTGGTTTGTCTTAAGGAAAAGAAAAATGAGAAAATATTTTCTTTTAATTCTTGGACAATTGGCTTGCATAAAAAAAAAAAATTTAAGTATTATCATATTGATCTTATGTATGTATGTATATAGATGTTGGGAATTTTTTAACGTTTCAATTATTAGTTTCAGTTAAAAATTATGTAATTTTTACTCAGTTAGCTAAATCATTTAGTTTGGTTAAGTGTAATTGTATGAATGTACTATGCTATGCTTTAATGTTATTAATGTTGTGGGTGTTGGCATGTACTTTAATTTTACGTATAAATAAGTGTGCAATGTTAATGAAAAATACATATATATAGTAGTGATGAATAAAATTGAGTAGTAAAAAGATATTTAGAACAAATTAGTAATATGTAGGTATGTCGATAGATGTTTCTAGATTTTTTTTTGTCTGCATAATTAAAATGCACAAATAAGCCAGTTTCAAAACTGGGTAGAAAGCCATTAGTAAAAGTATAAACATAAAAATGGAGAATCAATAAACAGTCAATTAAAATTCTTTGTCTTAAGAATATTTGCTTTCAACGTTTTTGTTTTTTTTCTTCTGATTTCTAACTATTCAAGTACAAGTGAAAATATGAAAATATGAAAGAACTAACATCTCGATTTACTTACCCATAATTACATTTTGCCGTAGTGATTGAAATCAAATTAATGTTAATTGGAAACAAAAGATTACATATTCTTGGAAAGGCAGATTTGTTAGAAACATTATAAACGAACGAAATGTTTACTGTGCATCGCCGTTATTATTATAATTTTTTAGTGAAATATTTTTAAATTCGCATAAAAATTATTCAATAGTAGATTTTTTAGAAGTTTTAGTGCTGCGGATGATTTTTTTTTCAAAATGATAGAATGATGATGCTCCGTGCTAGTATTTTGTGGTATTGTCAGTGTTTGGCGGTACAATTAAAATCAATCCGTACATACATAAGAATGTATGTATGTATGTAGGTACAAACACAACAACTTCACAGCTACATACATATATAAAAAAGGTATTTGTGCGTGGCAGAAATAAAGATGTTTTCGCGATTTTTTTAATCTTCACGAGACTTTTTTAGTTATTACTATAAAATGTTTAATTTTATGCGTATGATTACTTTTCTACACTTTTAAAAGTTGCTGTATTTTGTAATATAAAGTTTAATTGTTATGTTCATTTATGTATGGGCTATTTTGTTTTGTCTTTTGTTTTCTTTTTTCTTTCTTTTTTGTTGTGATTCCTTCAAAAATTTGATTGTTTACCATTGAAAATATATATTCATATATAAAAAATGCATAAAGAAAGGAGAGATAAAAAATGTTAAGCAATTGAGAGGAAGAAGAAGATTTTGTTTAACACTTTTTTATCAAAGAAAATTAAGTTAATTGTAAGAAAATTTTTGTGTACACAAAATTAAAAACAAATAGTAATTGCATAAAAATTGAACATTAAAAAAAAAATAAAAATAAAAAAAAAACTCAAGTAGTTCCTAAATAAAAATTCAAAACATAAAAAATAACTTGCGAGAAAGAAAAATGCTGAGTGCAAACCAACAACTATTCGATACATTAGTGGCACCCAGCGTATCACCATAAGAAATGCAATGAAGTAAGTATATATGTATATATATAAATTTTTTTTTTATTAAAGGGGGCGCAGGAAGCTCACCTTTCTTTTTTATGTTTCTTAGACTTTTTCTTCTTATCCCTTTTACGCTCAGGACTCGCGGAACTGTAAGTAAAAATAATTTTAATTTAGAAAGTTATACCGAAAACCTGTTCGTATAAATGAAGTATGTATGAGGCAAAAGGAATGTAGAAAGATGGATGGATTTATTGATAGTACAGAATCTAGCCAGAACGGGGAGATATACGGTAAGCTGTCGATTTTTTTCGGCCCGTTGTTCGCCTAAGTCAGTAGAGTCACTCCAATGGGCAGCAGAGGCCCTTTTACCATGGAAAGATTTAACAGTGTCAACGACGCATTGGGAGAACCCATTTTTGAACCCCTTCTTGTTCTTAGCATTGTGGAATTCGACCGAGTACTGGCGTCTGCACAAATAGTTGATGATCCACCGCTTCGTCCGCTCTGGAAAACTCGCTTGGTCGACGGTTTTCGAAAGGTCAAGCGGGTAAAGGGCCAGAGTCGACGTTGGTTCACATCCTCGCTAATTTGTGCGGTGATAGCGTTCAGTCTTGTTGTTGCATTATGCGGATACTTGCGGTATCCGGGTAGGCGACCTGACACGCGCAGAGGCTCACTATAGGTTGGGGGAGGAAAAGCGCTTCCATAATACGGATTTGCTACAGGAGATGGTTCTACAATTTTTTCCAAATCTCGATGATCAGGGAGAACAGTGGCACGTTGTGCGCTGCAGTAAGGTACTGGACACCCAGCAGGCCCAGCGAGATGCCGTTACGGCCTAAAGCTTTAGAATATTTTACGTTGTTGAGAGCATCCTATATCTCTCTACCAGTAAAACACGGTAGCGTGTATCGTACCAGGAATTGATGTGCTTTATGTAGCATGCTCCGGTGCGCTTTATATCTCTCGGGATGTGCAGTAAACCGCCGGGTATTCCACTTGGGCAACAGGAGGGCATAAACTCATACCTGAGCAGATTAGATGCAGATGTGCCAAATGAGTGTCCGGCATGCGGAGAGACAACGAGACTCGAAACATCTCTTCGTATGCCCGGATAACCCCACACAACTAACGCCTCTGTGCATGCATACATATGTATATCCGACTCGAAAGTTTTAAGATAGCCTTACTAATTCCAGTTTTGAGGTCAACTAAGAAAGAACAACTAGCATTGAGAAACTGACAAATATATTTCAGCAATGGATATACTTTAAAACTGTCTAATCTATCTCTTGTTATTTGTATGCAAAACAAAACACTATTGAAACAGCGATAAAGAGCTTGCTGCCTTAGGGAGTTATGTGCTACGTAATTGTTATTGTTACGAATAGTTTTTTTAAACCAATTTCAATCCAATAGAAAAGTAATTGAAGTTATTTGTAGAAACTTACTGACGCTTAAGGTTTAGTGGCTAAGGAATTACTAATAAAAATGCTTGTAATATGCAGCACTGGAAATGCACCATATCAAATTTTAAAACTAAAACTCACCTTTCACGCGTGCGCTTCTTCTTTTTCTTCTTCTCTGATTTTGATACATGCTCATGAGTTTCATTATCACTGCCGCCTTTGCTGCCACCACTGCCAGCAATGTCTTTTTCACGCGATGGCGTACGCACTAATGCATAACGTCGCTTATCTGCACGTTCCCTATCCTTATCTTTGCCTACTGCGGCGCTTTCGCGTTGCGCGTCGAGCTCCTTTTGCAGCGCCAGGCTTTTAGCTAAATCTTCCTTTGCTTTACGATCCGAATCGAAACTAGAGCCTTCAACAAAGTATTCAGAAATGTTGAAAGCTTCACGTAATTTAGCGTTCTTCTCTTGCTGTGCTTCAGCAATTTGATGCGTCTCACGGACACTGAAAGTAAAAGAATTGATAGTCAAGCTTTTTTTGTGGTCAAGGGCAAAGAAAATATAAAAAATGCAGGGAAAATAAAACAAAAAAACATTTAAAATATAGACAATCTTTTGGTAATTAAGTATGTATATACCTAACGACATGTCTGAGTTGCTGCTGGCGCAGACTAGTCGTATGCTGAAAGTGTGCGCCTAAAAGCGAATCTAAGAGCGATATTCGTTGGCCGGACCCGGAACCAATGCCGGAATGTGGCATTAAACTCAGCAAATGTGGCATTGAAGTGGCAACATTCACATTAGTAGCTTGAGCTTTAAGTAGTTTTTTCAACAATTCTTCTACCATTAAAGCAGATTCGACTGCTATGGAAGATTGTTGTTTCAGATCCACAGCCGGCCGTTTGTTATTAGAAAATGTATGACTTTCGCAATTGTTGCTTTTCTGACGCTTCCGTTTGGCATGTGGGCTGGCGACGGTGGCAATGGCACATGCGCAATTGCAATGAACAGGCTGTGACGAAGTAGTGGTGGCTGTTGATGAGGAACAAAAGTGTGGAGCATATTTTGCGACAAGCTTTGTAGCCATTTTCGTTTGTAGCTGCTGCTGACGTTTGTTGAATTTCATTTGTTGTTTATGCCATGGGTTTGTGTGCTTTGCCGGCTTGTTTTGCATTCTATTTTTATTCAATGTTGCAAGTGGTTTGAATTTCTTTGCTACTGCAGCATAATTGAGTTCACTCTTTGTTATCGTTTTGACAATTTCACGCGTATCATGTTGAAAATAGCGGCGCTCTTTGTGAACAGCGCGACGACGTGTCGTTGTGTTCGTGCAAGTGCTGGTGGTGCTGGAGACAGTGGCTACGGAGAGTGTATTGTCGGCCTCTCTTGCGGTCGCGGAAGTTGCGTTGGACTTTGTGGGTGGAGCGGCAGTAGCGCGTTTTCGACGCTTGCGGCGCTTTTTTGGTTTCGGCATTTTGAAAACATCTGAAGTTACATCGTTATCGATCGGTGCCGTATGAATGGTTGAGGAAAGCATATTTGGTATTTTTTTTTTGTTATGTATTTTAACAAAATATGTATGTATATCTGTTTTTGTTTAATAGTTTAAATTTATCAATTTTACTCTTGGTAAATTTAGTTTCATTGGTTTACACGATTAGTTTGTATACGAACATATAAATATTAATGCGTCTGCCACAAGGAAAACATGGGGTCATATAATTAAATATTAGTTTTCCGCTTTTACATAAAATTATTTTTTTCTTATTTCATAGTATAACTACATTAATGTTATGGAGGACATTGGATTAGTATGATTAGTATGAGGAGTTTCACATATTTATTTTTTCTTAGTAATCAATATGAATTTACAAGCGAAACATTTCTTGTCAAAATATTAATATGATATTCATTAAACATGTATATATCACTTATATAATTTATATTTTCAGCGCACACGCAGGAAGACATGGGATTATACTTAACTATCTTCGTTTTTATTTATTTCTTAAATTCTATCAATGCTTCAGCAAATTTTATAAATGTTATAAATATTTTGTTGTTTGATTTAGCAACATGGAAGACGTTGGATTATGCATAAATACGAAATATAGCTTTAGATCCCTTTATAAGGGCATCCAACAGACGTTTGCTATAAACTACGAGTATATTGAAATTTATTTTATTATTACTAATTTTTTTATAATTTGAACGCGCGTACAAGCGTACAAAGGATTTTATTATTTTTATTCGAGCGCAGTTAATTCATTTATTTTATTTATATTTTTTGTGGCAGAATTTTTATTTTCGCGTTATAATGAAATTTATTTTATTATTACCAATTTTCTGATAATTTTCACGTGCGTACAAAGAATTTTATTATTTTTATTTGAGCGCAGTTAACACATTTATTTTATTTTATTTATTTTTTGTTGCAGAATTTTTATTTTCGCGCTATCTGGAGCCTAGTCAATATGGTACTAAACTCCTGACTAATTAACTTAAATAGTAATCACCTAAATGGAAGACTCTGTGATGAGTGATTTGTTGCATTAATTTGAAGTTTATAGCATTTCTTCTGCCGCTTTATAACTTCTTCTTACTTCGCTTTTCAAGCATATTCCATTTGTTTTTTTTTTTTTACAAATTCACGTTAATCCTCTAATCCACTTAGTAACGGAGAAACCGCATAAATTTTCTAATACGCAGCTCCAATACCCACGCATTTTACTATGGGACTTTGCGGGGGGCTTTGTTGTAATGAATATCTTTCAAACGAATTTTTATTCAGGCCATCGTAAAAATAGGCAAGTAATTTTCTTTGTCGGATTTTGCCACCGTCGCTAGTTAGTAGATAATTTTCGTCAAATTTCCAAATTGGTTGTTGGCACCAAAACATACTGCAGTTGGTTTTTTTTTTATTTCCATGCAGATGTATCTTATTGCGTTGATTATCGATTTTTCTCAAATTGCTAAAAATGGTTGCCACACATGCATATCCAGTCTTAATACGAATCTTTTGTACAGCAGCAGCGCTTTTATTATTTATATTTACTTTAAAGTAATGCAATAAGCTTGCTTTTCAAATAATATGATTAAATATTATTTCTAATATTTTTGTATATTGATTTATTTGAAGTCAATTAAATATGCACAGCGTTTGGGTTGTGCAACCCTTGGAAGACTTGAGTTGACTAAACATCTCTGCAATCTGTGCAGAGTGCAAATGATTTGAGCTTAAAAATTACAGACATCCACCTTGCGTGGTGGTGGGTGGTGAGTAAGTAGGGCACAAAGTAGAGAGAACAATATCTTCGCTTGTGAGTTATACAGCATACAGCAGCTTTTGGGGTTGCAAATTGCATGCAATAACATCAGAACCAATATTACATATCAAAATTATATAATATGGTGTATAAAAACAATTACAACTTTTTAAATACACTAGCTAGCTTGTTTTGTTCTCTAATGAAATTTAATTTTAAATTAATTTTTCTTTTTTTGTTTTGCAGTCGGACATAACGGAAAATAACCCTGCGTAGGAACTAACATAACATAACATAAACATATATATTTAATACACTTACGCTATTCTTCCGAATTCATCTTTAGGCAAATCACTTTTTCCTAGTCCCATTAATTTTTGGCGATATGAATCAACCTTAGTTTTTATTTCCTCCGGTGTGCGCCTGAAATAAATACAAGTTACAGTTAAAACCAGCAAAATTAGCGTCACAGCTAGAAATTAAAATTTTCTTGCGGCATACCGACCAAACAAAATTAAACCAAAAAGTTAGCAGCTGAAAATTTGTGAAAGATCGATATTTCTCTACTCAGATACCTAAATCTATACGTATTATTTGTTCGGGCTTATTTGTACTTTATTAAAAGTATGTATATCCTTTGCTTTCTGTTTAAAATGTTATTTTTACTTTTAAGAAAATCTTTAATTTCTTTCCACCAAACAAGTTTGCAATTTTTTAGTGGCTTCCTAGCGCTATGCAGATAGAGCGCACAAACTATTTTCAACTTGTCCACTCAGCGTGAAAATTATGTATGAAACAGGCGTAAAACCTTTATTCTTGTTCTCTTGCCACCCCAATATAAA